TTTTTTTTTTTTTTTTGAGACAAGGTCTTGCTATGCATTCAGGCTGTCCTTGAACTCACTATGTTGTCTAGGTTGGTCTCAAACTCAAAACAATTCTCTTGTCTCAGCCACCTAAATTCTAGGATTACAGGCATAGTCCACCACACCTGGCGCGTGTTTGCTATTTTTAGGAAGGATGTAAAAACACTGCTAATTTCTTTGTTTTTGAACCCACCTGTTAACAGTTTTTAAATACATGACTTTTTAATTACTTTGTAAGAATGCCTAATTGACATCAGGAAGTAGAAACTTAGCCCTTTTGAACAGGAACTTGGTATAGTTGCTAATATAGGTAGTAAAAAAAACTCAACAATTTGCATTCTTCTATTCAGAAGTTATATCTTTTTAGCTTGATAATAAAATCCCAATTATTAAAATAAGAAATATTTGACTTTTAAGTGATACTTTCAAAAATAATTAAACCAAGATTTAAAAAAATAACAAGATATACAATAAATCATATGAATAATTAATTAAAGTAAAATTTATTTTCTAATGATGTGACAAGAATTTTTAAATAATTTCTCCTGGCTATTTAATAGAAAACTCTCTTAAGTCTATGAGAATAAGGACTTAATCAACTAAAATATTTTTTTCCACATAAAAGCAAATGAACATGCAAATTAAATTTCAATAAATACATGTTACTTTTATATATTTTAGTATATGTATGTGTGAACATATGCTAAAGTTTAAAAGGATTCCAGTTCTGTAATATAGTTCAACACTTCATTCTGAAGTACTTCATATATGCAAACACCTTAAAAACCATTAAATTACTTTTTCCTTCATTTTATGTTAACTGAAGCATTCACATGCCCTGAATTTTTAAAAGGTATTACTGTATTACACTTGCAAACAGTGCCATCTTCTGACCGTGGAACTATCTGTGCATTTATATAAAATTCATTATGGTTAGTAACCATCATTTTCTTAACAAGTATATCATAGGTTACTAAATAAAAGTTCTTAGCCTAAAAACAATTCACTAAAAAATTTTAAAAAATAGGAACATTGCTCAGATATATATAATTTAAGAGGACATTAATTCAGTAACACTAGGTTTTTCTACTAAATCTTCCACTAACCAGATATTGAATCTTAGACTATGTAAATACTTGGGACCTCAGTTTCCTCAACTATAAGATTATTTAAGTCATTAATGAAGTCACTTTCTGCAATGATTCCATTTTTTCTACCTTTAGAAAATTTTATGAGTATTTTGTTTTTTAAATGAAATAAAGGCAGGCCTATTTATGATATTTCCTACACAGCTATCTCTTTTATTAATATGAGTTTGCTTGGTTATGCACTTGGCTTTAATTTTCTTGACACTTGTCCTAGTCAAAATAGCCTCTCCCTAAACAATACATGTAAGGATTTAATGGAAATGTGAAGAATGTTTTGAAAAGTTTGCTAAAAATATTTTAAGAAACATTCTGTAAAGGTAGTGTTCATGTCTTTCATGTTACTGAAAACTTTAAATAATCCTTTAATTTGTCAATCTTAAGAACTTAGAAACTTCTGGTACCTCCAGTTCAGTCAATTCATATATTCAAAACTCCCCAAAGGAGCCTCATTCACCTATCCAAGCTGCTCTCCAATTAGAAAAATGTTTAGGTTCTTCCATGAATTTTTTCTAGGAAAATATTCAAATGTTCATTTATTCAACAAATATTTATTGAGAATTCATTAATGGATAATATAAGTATTAAAGGAATTAAGTAGAGGTCATGGCTTAAATAAACCCCAAGGCAAACTGTCCATATCCATATAACCAAAAATTATGTCATCTGATTTCCTGAAATGCTGTTTCTAATCATAACCAAGCTTAAGCTTTATACTTACATCTTTGCTAGTATGATTAAGCCAATATAGACAAATCAGCTTAACAGTTCTATTTTCCATAAAAAGCAAACAAATAAATAAAAATAACCCATAACAGTCCATCATAAAAAAGGTCAAAATATTACCTCCTTTATGTTGCATGAATAGCACTGGAACTCTGTGTGGCAAGTTTCTTAGCAGCCTTACCACTTGGTCTGAAGTCTTCAGGATAGAGAGCTATACTTTCTGTGAGACATAAATTTTGAGGTTTACTGTAACTTGATATGATTTTTGACACAAGAAACCAGGGTAAATATGATACAAATCATTACATAATTATTAACAATCAAAGAAATCCTCTGGAGTAGCATTATGAAACTCCCTGATAATATGCACTTTAGTTCAAATTCTCACATAGTCGGGGGGGGTCAAGCAAAATTTCTTTAATATATAGGTCTTAATGACTAATTAGGAATCTGAGCAGATAAAAAGGAAATTTCTAGCCAGAGCAAACCCATGCAATGCCAAATTGCTAAAAGGAGCAGATTAGGAAAGTACAGTCATGCATTACTAAATGACAGGGATAATGTTATAAGCAATAAGTTGTTACGCAATTTTATCACTGTGAATATCATGAAGTGTGCTTATACAAACCTATTTCACATTTTGGCTATACTATATAATATAACATCTCGCTACTAGGGTACAAACTTGTACAGCTTATTACCCAACAGTAGGTATTGGTGTACCTAAAAACATCTAAACATAGAAAAAGGATAGTAAAAATATTAGATGACAGAATTTTTTCAGCCTCATTATAGTCTTTGTGAACACCATTATAAATATAATCCCTCACTGACCAAAATATTATTATGCAGCACATCAGTGTAATCCAAAAAGGAGCCTCCAAGGCAATCGGAAGCCAGATAAGGCTAAATCCATGAGCCTCAAAATTTCTTTAAAAAGTATCCACATTTAGAACTAGATTCTAAACTCCTCAAAAGGCACAAACCATACCTTTCAAATTTTATTTTTACATCTTCTCATGTTATACAGATATTTACTACCATAAATACTTCCTCTGTGGAGAAAAAATTATATTTTGCTAGTTAATTAACTTCTAGAATCTCCAGGTTATAGTAGTATTTGTATTTGCAGATAACTTATAAACTATATTAACATAAAACCAAGGAAATTCTTGCCGGGTTTATGCATAAAATTCTGGAGATAAATGTGACCACCAGTCTATCAGAGTTAATGCCAGAATTTTAACCCTAGCCCAAGCTCCCAGTGGAAGGGGGGATGGACATCCAAGTTCTTTACTCCTTAATTTCCCCAACACCATTATTCTCCATATTAAAAATTGTGATTTACACACACAAGACTTAAGGCTGTAAAGAAACATTTTACTGGGTCAAGGCATCCCATTACATCCATGTTTTACTCGAACTCATCAAAATGAGATACATAATACTGTACCAGGCAGAATTTTAAGACGATCCCTAATTCCCGGCTCCTAGGGACCACACGCTATAGAATGCTTTCCTCTTGAGTGTGGGCAGAACCTAGGAATAGAAACGTTTATGGACTTCATGAAAAGGGAGATTTTTCTGACATATCTTTATCTAATTAGATGAGTCAAAAGGGACTGAGTTCTCTCCAAAGTCAGAAAAACTGGAATTATAAGAAAGGCTACTTAGCAAACATTAAGACTGTTCTCCTAACAACAGCTAGAAAGACAACAGGGACCTCAATCTAGCAACTAGAGGTCTTGGAGGACAACAAACCTCAGATATGAAAACGAACTAGCAGGCTGATTTCTGTGTGTGTGACACTAAGCAGAACATACACCTATTCCCTCCGCAGGCTTTCTTGCATCACTTAAGTAATAAACATGCCGTTTTCAAGCCATAAATTTACGATAATTTGTTATGCAGTGACAAAAAACTAATACATTTAGGCGTTTCTCGTGTAATTAACAGTATGCCTGGTAGACGTTAGTCAGTTCATTTTTCTAGTAATTTTCCTTACTGGTTCATTTTTTCACAATTAACATAAATATTAATTGTGCACCGTCTCAATACTTTCCACCCTTAACATGAACTCATTTAATTTGTGACTCAAAGTTCACTGAAAATTTCTTCAGCTTTGCCGGGCCTTTCTGGTCTTTACTCCTGGCCAGCCGCGTCCGGCGCGGGGGTGGACCTGGTTGGACTCCCCACCACCCTGCTTTGCCTGGCTTCACGGACAAGGGACAGAAACGCGGACTGCCTCTTCAATCTTGTATTTTGAAAAGCACCTTGTCACAAGGAAATCATGTGGTCTGGGGCTGCGGTTTGGATGCAGGTAGTTTTTCTAAATTCCAAAGTATCCAGCGGAAGTTTTCACCATCCATTAGAAACCAGAGGTCCACGGGCACTGCATCTCAACTACATCAGGCTCAGCTGCCAGACAGTTCACATTAGTCTGAATATATCACAGATTCTGCTCCAATCACCCACTTTACCCAGAGAGGAGAGGGTTATCTACCACGGCGCCTACTCCCAGCAAACAACCGGAAACAGATTACGCACGCCCACCTACTGCGCCTGCGCCAATGGTCCACTCTGGCGAGGGAGGGGAGGGCCGGAAGGAAGGAGGCGGGCGGGCTGCGAGGGGCGGGCCTTAGCGGCTTGGCGCGCTTGTGCAAGGGGCGGGACGGCGGCGTGCTGCGTCGTTTTTTTCAACCGTTAGGCGGGTAAGTGCTCAGCAACCCGGCCCAGTCGCTGTCTGCAGAGCAAAACCGCGAGGTTTAGTCTGTGAGTCCAGTCATGGCGCTGCAGCTCGCCCGGGAGCAGGGCATCACTTTGCGCGGGAGTGCCGAGATCGTGGCCGAGTTCTTCTGTAAGTCCTCGCGCAGGCCGGGTATATTGAGCTCGGGCGTCCTGGTCCCAGGCCTCGGGGAGCCCACGGGAGCATCTGGGGAAGACGGAAACTGCTCCTCCACCGCTTTGCCCCAGGGGGAGGGAGACGGGCCTCGCGGTGTGGCCTTTTCATGAACGTTTAAGTTGCAGACTACCCTTCCCCCCAGCCTCCGTGTCCTTGTACTCCCGCCCCTCGGAATCTCAGTACGCGTTGTGAATGGGGCGGGCGCCACGGTGCATTCTGACCCAGACTTCGCCCTCACCGAAGTGAGGCGGACTTTACCCCCCCAGGCCAGTGGGACCTTCTGGTCGAACCTGCAGAAGAAAAGGAGGAAAAAGTGAGGGAGGGGCTGGAGTATCAGAGGAAACCGTTGCTAATAGGCATACTGCTGGACGGTATACTGCTGGACATCCCTGACCGCATAATCTGAATTTGGGCTTGTATTACAGCGAGGTGTGATTTAGCAGTGGCAAGTTAATGCAGCTTGACAGTTTTCTTTTCCTGCAGCATTAAGTGCAGAGATTTGAAAGCAAGATTTTAAGGCTTCTTGATGCTACTTTGTAAGTACTAGGCTTTCATTCAGACATGCAAGCTCTTCAGGCATTTACAGCTTATTCATTTCCCTTGATTTCAGCATTTGGCATCAACAGCATTTTATATCAGCGTGGTATATATCCATCTGAAACCTTTACTCGAGTGCAGAAATATGGACTCACCTTGCTCGTGACTACTGATCCTGAGCTCATAAAATACCTCAATAACGTGGTGGAACAATTAAAAGGTACTTAACTATTAACACTTTGAGTTTTACAGATGGTTTTTTAGCATCCACATCTTTTTAAACAGCTCGACTGGCCATTTTTCAGCTCTTTATAAATATACAAATATAAGAAAACGCCACCATCTCAAATGTAGTGATTCTCAATTGTGACGAAGCATATAATATGTAAATTCAAAGAAACCCTACCCGTCCCCACTACATTTTAAATGGACTGAATATTTTATGTGAGGAATCTTAATATGGCTTAGCAAAACAGTCTCCAGGAACTCACTTAGAAATGGCTTTTGCAGTTAATGTGTCCAGAAGAAACAGGTTGAACTTTTACATATTTATGATGGTATCCCATTATCTGTTTGACAAAGTATATTGTTAACACAATTTATTAATTTTCTGTAACGGAAGTCTAAAGTCATCATATGGTTAAGATCAAGAAAACTTCAGCTGTTTTAGATCATTGCTGTCAGAATAGCAAGATGAGCCCTCTGTGAGGGTATATAGACTTCCATTCTCAAGTGCAAACAGATAACACTGGCAGAAACAGCCCACTTTCCCAGAGTTGCATCCAGAATTGGTGATCATAGGGCTACACCCTTATCATTTGGCCTGGAACCTCTAGGCAGCCATGGCTCTTATGCTTCATAATTTGGTGGAAGAAGAGTTGCCCAAGGTGCTAGTAGTTTGTATTGTCTCCAGAGGTTTTTTACTTCTTGTGTATCTAGATCTTACTTAACTTCTTATTTTAGTTAAAATAGAATGGCTCTTCCTTAGAGTAAAATTGTTTATTTCTTTTGAATCCTATTTCCACTAGCCTTTAAAGGACTTTATCTTGTTTTTTCTGTTGTATCTTTTTTTACTTCTCTGTTTTGTTTGTTTTTTTTTTTTTTTTTTGCATTGGTTTTATCTCTGTCCAAATTACAATAAAAAATCATTACTATCCACCATAAATCTCTTGCAGATTGCTACCAAATCTTCTTTTCAGGATTATAAAAAGTTGATACATGTCAAATTGGCAGGCCCCACAGACTGAATATAGTAGGTGGGCTGTTTTTGTTCTGCCTATAAGCTAAGACTGTTTTTGATATTTTTTTACAAAAGGACTGTCTCCTGAATATGCTGTCCCAATTCCAAGATTAATGTAGGGCTTATTCTGAAGCCCTCTTCTCTCTTTACAATCTATGTGTGTTATATTTGATATGTGCATAGCTTCACTAACAGCTTTTATGTATTTGGCTTACAAACTTGTATCTAACCCAAGTCTCTTATTCTAGACCTGTGTTTCCTTTATCTTTATGTTCTGTTCCAGAGATACTTCATACTCAACATAATAAAAACAAAATTTAGGATCATCTTCAAAGTTGATGCTCTTTCAATCAGTGGCTTAATTGTCCAAAGATATACAAGTGAAAAACTTGGACATCTGCCTTAATCATTATTTTTCCTTACCCCATAACTAGTCTAGGGACTTTTAACATATTTTAACCATGTAATGTTTTCTGCTCCATCTCTACCGGTTAATCCTTCTATGTGCTTCATCTCCTGCTTGAATTACTAATCAACTGATACCGCTAGATTCCCTTTTTATACTCTCTAGTCCACTTTGTGCATTACAATCAAAATGATGATTTTGAAATATAATTCTAATTACATAATGCCCTACTTCAACAGTAATATCATCCCAGGTTCTTAAAGTATAATTTCTTTAATTTGGTCCACAAAGCTTTGGGTCAGATGGCCCCCATTCTGATAAGATTACCTAATTCTTGATTCATTGCATTTGTACTGGTCTATGTTCAGTCCTCTGGTCACATTCTCATCCTTTTTCATTATTGAAAGACTACTTTTTCTATTTTTGTGTATTTGATGCCATAAATCCTTAAAAGCTAAATGCATGCAGTCTTTCCCTCACCTTCCTGAATCACATTTTCTTTCATTTTACTGCCTGCCTCTCCAAAGCAGATATCACAGTTATAATTTTAATTTGTTGGAGTGATGGTTAGATTGGTGCCCATCTACTATGTTCCTAAGGTGAAAGTATCCTATGTTCATGAATGTCTTCAGCACACAGTATTACATCACTGCCAATACTAAGAATTTAAAAACAAGCTAGATTATTGATAGAGGACTTACCTTATTTGAGAGAGGAGATCTACAGTGATAGGAATTTCCTGAGGATGGGAAGTAGGACCTGAGAAGTGACTGGCTTTGTAATGCAGTGGACCATAAAAATCCATTGTTATTTGTTGCAGATTGGTTGTACAAGTGTTCCGTTCAGAAACTTGTAGTAGTCATCTCAAATATTGAAAGTGGTGAAGTCCTTGAAAGATGGCAGTTTGATATTGAGTGTGACAAGACTGCAAAAGATGACAGGTAAGTATGGTTTAAAATATTCCTACTTTGATTTTTTTTTTCCAGTATTTGCTTTATTTCTATGTGAGTTCTAATTATATTGAACTAGTGTCATATATAGTTTGTTTGTAAGGTGAGTCTTCTTTTTCAGACTCCTATGGAAAATTCCTGTGCTCATGTTAGTATGGCATTAATTTGTATGGTTAGGATACTTTTAATATAATTGCCTGTAGTTTGAATCAGTGAAATTTGAACCTGGGGATTTATGGTGATATATTTAAAAATAAATATTTAGATATACTAGGTAAGCCATTTAATCAGTTGTTCAAAGGTACTTTTAACTACAAGGGATGATCCTAGATTGTTTCAATTTAAGTTGTAGCTCTGTTGTACTTCATTGCATGCCATACATTACCTAAGACATCTTATAAACTTCTGAAGGTTCTACACTCCTTAGATGGGAAGTGCCCATCGTAGTGTTTAGCATTGTCTGTCCTAGGCATGCTTTTCTATAAACTTAGAACCATTTCTTACAATGAAATTTAGTTTTCTTCATAAGTTTTTGACGTATTTCAGGAAAATATTAGCTTATAAAAATAATATGTAAGTTAATATTTTATTTGAGCCAACAGGAAATTTGATATTCAGGCATTACTAAAAATGCCAAAATGATTATACAGTGGACCCTTGACTTAACGAACTCCGTTCATTCACAAGGTTTAGTTGTAACTCAGGCTGGTTAATGAAGGCTCAGGCTCCTCTACTCGGCCTTCAAAGTCTCTCCTGTGTACAGGCAGATCTCAATGTCCTTAGAGAGACATTGGCCCTGATTTCTCAACCCCACACTGTAAAGGATGTTGTGATGTTGCTTTCAGAACTCTTATAAGGGTTCAGTCTGTATCTGAGACTATCTGCGAGCACAAGCAGCTGGCATTCAGCCCATAACTCGAGACTTTGGTGATAAGTTAAAACTAAAATGCTGGTTGTAACTTAAGTTGTTCATCTGTCAGGCCAAATGTAATTCCAGGGACCACTGTACAAATTAAATATTTTAGTTACTATTTTTAAGAGAGATTGAAGTTTTCTTAAATTGAAGTAGTTTGCAATTTTTTTATTCATCTCATATGAAATAACTTCATACTAAAACCAGACCTAAAAGATGGTTAGAGGGATAAATGAAACCATAAAAGATGTATTATGCCTATAAAAGTATGGGTCCTTAGGATAATTTTTTAAAAATCTCTTTAAATGCATGACATTTGAATTTGGAAGCAAAATAACATATTAAACCTAAAATGAATTAACTGATTTTTTTTTTTTTTTTTTTTT